GATGATGGAGCCGCTCTGTAGATGATGGAGCCATTCTCAGATGATGGAGCCGTTCTGTAGATGATGGAGCTGTTCTGTAGATGGTGGAGCTGTTCTGTAGCTGGTGGAGCTGTTCCATAGAGGATGGAGCCGTTCTTAAATGATGGAGCCGTTCTGAGATGATGGAGCCGTTCTGAGATGATGGAGCTGTTCTGTAGGTGATGGCGCTGTTCTGTAGGTGATGGCGCTGTTCTCCGATGATAGAGCTGTTCTGTAGGTGATGGCACTGATCTGTGGGTGATAGAGCTGTGTTATGGGCTTATCAGGGCCAGGCAATGGTTACACACATCTACACATGTTCAAAAATTTGTAGAACTAGACTGCCAAAATAAAAAGGTCAGTTTTACTAAATGATGATTCTAATGATAATATTAAAAAAGATGTCAAATTTATAAAGTTGGTTTAACAGTTATAATTGTATTACAAGGCTGTGTTTATAGAGTGTATCATCAAAAAGTTATTAATGAAAGCAGATAAGTGTATCGATACATTTTAAATGATAAGCCTGGTATAAGGATAACACAGTTGATATCTATAACCACGGGAATGGTTCTGCCCCCTTTTTCGTGAGACTTCATGATACTTCAGATGCAGTTAATCACAGAATTTATCTGACAGGTGATAAAAATCAGGCCTACCACGTGTGTAAATATCCACATATCATGTAACAAAGTATCTGTGAAAGTATAAATGGTCATGCTTCCCGTCAGTTATGCAGTGAATATTTTTAGATACGTGTATATATGTGAATATTTATGTTGGAAATATATAGATATCTCAGTTTTAACATTTATGTGTGTGTGTATATACATATACAGATATGCACTATTTATATCTTATATACACTAATGGAGCAAGCCATGTACTCTTGTGTACCCCAGCACACATGAAAACATAGGGTCCCCTGTTTGAACTTAATAAGAATTTTTGGGTGTTGCCAGCAGAGCCTCAAACCCAGCTCTGGGCCCTGGTGAGCTCGGGCGTGTGGCTGCACAGGTCCAAGCCCACACAGCCCATCCTGCTCTAACACAAACGCCAAGGAGCTGCTGCTCGTGCAGCTTCAGTGAATCTCTTCTGCCTGGGTTTGAACCCGGCGCCTTTCCTTGCTGGCTGTTTGACCTTAGGCGACTTATTTGCATGGAAAGTGTTACTGCATGTGGGTTTAAAGCATGAGCTGTGGGTGTCATTCTGAGTTGACGTCCTTCCCGTGTGAACTGGGCCAGTTTCCTCATTGTCGGCTGGGGACACGGGGGCGTCTCTTCTCTGTGCCTCTGGTCCTGTTGTGGGATTCAGTGATAAAAGACCTGAGCGTCACCTCCTGTAGCACACGGAGAGCTCTCTGCACGTGGAGGCTGCCGTGCTCACCTGGGCACGTGGACGCCGGGACACGCGTCACTCCACAGACCACCGTCACTGCAGACAAGTCCTGGCTATTCCCTTTTAAAAAATCTTCGGGGAAGATTGCCGAGGACTCACGTTGATGTTGGGTGACCCCAGTTATTGGAAATTTGGTTAAGATTAAATGTCATTTATTTCCAGGCATCTCTTACTAATAGCTATTACGTCAACAATGTTTAAAAGATACTGTTAGTGACAAGATGTCAGTCACACTCACACGGTGAGACATTCTATAGCTCACCAGCATCCTTCGAAAATGAAAAGGTCATGAAAGAGAAAGATCGAGGAACTTGCCCACATTGGGCGGGACTTAGGGAACATGACAAGGAAACCCAAGGTGGGCCCCTACGTTGCATCCTGCACTGGAAAGGTAGCATTTGTGGGGACATGGGTCAAATTTGAGGAAGGTCTGCAGATTAGTTAATAGCATCGTATGACTGCAATTTCCTGGTTCTGACCCTGAGCCACGTTTGTGTAAGAGCTTAACCCCCGGGGGGCCGGGGGAAGGGCGTCCAGAAGGCAGCTCTTTGTGTCACTTTTGCAACTTTTCGATGTCTTAAATTATTTCAAAATAAACGTTAGGAAAGGAAAAACTACTAAATGCTTGAAAATACCCACTTTTTAAAAGTTCTAGAGCATCCCCCAACTTAAAAAAAAATTAACTAGTATTTACTTTAGCGTTTTCTATCCTCAAGTGTCGGAGTCGCCCCGGCTTCAAGTTTGTTCTCTCTCATTTGCTCGTTCCCTTTGTAGACAAAGTTTACATGGGGCCGGGACAGCTGTACCAAGATTTACAGAACCTGCTGCATGACTTAAATGTCGTTGGTCAAATCGCCCAGCTGATAGGAAACCTTAGAGGAAACTACCAGGTAAGAGTCACAGCAGTTTGGTTTAAGATTCTGTTTTTACTCCTAAAGTGGATACGTGATCACATCTCCAGGTTCTACCAGAAGTGAGAATTCATTATGACTGTACGAACTGATCTGATGGACACTTTTTGTTACTTTGGATAAGGCGACACTGTTATTTAATTGTTACTTTTCTTCATTTTGCGAGTAGACTTGAGTATCAGTTCTGAGAAATGTCTCTGCCACCCCACAATGTCACAGTGTGATCTGACTCTGAGGGTTTCTTTTTTGCAATCAGATATGAGGTGTTTTTTTGTTCATCTCGTTTTTGTTTGTTTGGTCTCCCTGAGTTTTTTGTGTTACTTTGCTTTTAAGCTGCTCCTATTTTTTTTTTTTTTAACAATTTAAAAATGTACATATTTATTTTCTTTGCAGAACTTAAACCAGTCAGTAGCCCATGATTGGACATCAGGTTTACAAAGACTTATTCTGAAGAAAGAAGACGAAATCAGAGCCGCAGACTGTTGCAGAATCCAGTTACAGCTCCCAGGGAAACAGGACAAGTTAGTGGTGACTTTAAAATGAAACCTGCTTAGCCAATACTCGGGGAAAAAAGTGGTTCTTTGTCATGATATGTAATTTTTTTTTTTTTTTGATTTGTTGATTGTATTGGACAGGCAAAACATTGTGATTTAATTTCATATTATAAAGCGAAGGCTTGTCTGTTGTTCCTGGCAGGTCTGGACGACCCACCTTCTTCACGGCTGTGTTCAATACGTTTACCCCGGCCATCAAAGAGTCCTGGGCCAACAGCTTGCAGATGGCCAAGCTTGCCCTCGGTAGGTGCGGTGGGCGCGGCTGGCGGAGGCTCGCGTGAGAGATGGTGTGTGTTTTGGAGTCCTCTGCCAGTGTCCCCTGTTATGAGGAGATGCTCGCCCGCCAAGAGGAAACCGGGGTTAAGAGGTGAACTTGGCGATGGATCAGTCCATGTACCTGGAGGAATGTTTTTACGTGGGGACGATCAACCCCAGCACAAGTGGATTTTAAGAAGTTCATGTTATAATTTAGGGTTGCAGGAGCAAAGCCATGGCTTTTATTGTAACAAAACATTACTGTCAGGCCAGGTGCGGTGGCTCATGCCTGTAATCGTAGCATGAGGATCGCTTGAGGTCAGGGTTCGAGACCAGCCTGAGCAAGAGCGGGACCCCGTCTCTACTAAAAATAGGAAAAGCTAGCTGAGTGTGTTGGTGTGCGCCTGTAGTCCCAGCTACTCGGGAGGCTGAGGCAGGAGGATCGCTTGAGCCCAGGAGTTTGAGGCTGCCGTGAGTTGTGATGATACCACTGCACTCCAGCCTGGGCAACAGAGTGAGACTCTGTCTCACCAAGATAAAAAATGATAATAATAATGTCAGTTTATCAGTTGAGGCTGCTCAACCCAGGGTAAGCCTGCCGGGTCTAGAATGTGAGTCGGGGGCTGAGGCAGGTCCGGTGTGGGTCTGTCTCCAGAAGGAAGGAAGGAAGGTCGTGGTCCATCTCAGCCTGTTTCCTCACCCCTGAGTAACAAAGTGCAGGGGGCCAAAGGCCCTCCCAGCACCAGAGATGAACCCTGCAGCACATAGACGGGTGCGACTTCATGATGATTTTCTTGTTCCTACGTCCCTTCAGCCTTGCTGTTTTGACATATGTATGATTTACATGTCACTTACATACTCACGGATCTATCACTCAGGACACACGGGATGCCCTGTGTGCGTGTAAAACCCTCCTCTAGACGCAGGTAATCTGAGACGCTAACTGAATGTGGGGTACAGAGGAGAAACCGCGGTTGGGGTAAAGGTTATGACCCTGGTGTGCGCGGATTAGTGGCAGGAAGAGCACGTTGCCCGCGGAAGGGGAGCCAGCCGGAACGCGCGCTCAGTGGACGCGGAAGTAGTCACATGGCCCATTTCTCTTCCTTACTGCGTGGTGGTTTGTCAGGGTGGGTCCAGAGAGACTCACAAACCAGGGGTCGCCCAGCCTGGGGAGAAGCGGGACGTGGAGACGAGCTCCCTTTTACCTTGAGATCAGTGCCACGTTCTTCAGAGCCAAGGCCGACGGTCGGCAGTGAAATATTTCTCCATTCGTTTTACTTTGTCCCATCCTGTTATACCGTGTCTAAAACTTTCTCACTGCATCTCGTATTTGATTCGTATCTGAATCTAAACACCTCAGTTGCTTTGAAAAAAAAATGGAAAGAGGTAAGGAAAAGAGAGCCGTGTGGGTTCCGCAGCGCACAGGCGTGTTGAGGAGGCGCAGACAGGGAGACGTCACCGTCACTCGGGCGCGGGCCGCGCCGCCCCGTGGGAAAAGAGTTCACTGTTTCCCAGAGATGAGACGTCAAGTTCCCTGGGCTTGTGAAACGGACGGTAGAAACTTGTGCGGGGTGGCCCCGCGGCCGTGCAGACCTGGGTGCAGGTGCGTTCCCTGCAGTCCGGGCTCATTTTCTCCCTGCCTCTCGTCGCAGAGGAGGAGAACCACATGGGCTGGTTCTGCGTGGAAGACGACGGGAATCAGATCAAGAAGGAGAAGCACCCTCTGCTTGTCGGACACGTGCCGGTGATGGTGGCCAAGCAGCAGGAGTTCAAGGTGAAGGCTGGCAGGCCGGGCACCTGCGCCGCTCGGGCCGCGTGGGAGAGTCCCGGGAGGGGCACAGTCAGGACACTGTCTTTCCAGGGTGGCCGTAGTCACTGCTTCCCTGGAGGTAATTTATTTAGAAATCAGAGAAGATTGCTGCTGTTTGAGACCTAACCACGAGGGTCGGCCTACGTCTCTGAGGCCCGTCCCTGGGCAGGACGCTGGTGTCCCCGCACGGCCGGTCACACGAGGGAGACTGGTTCCCTTTGCCAGCTCCTGAGGCTTTTGCTTGGCAGGCAGGGTTTCCACGGGGCCGTCACGTGAGCTCTCGGGCCTGCTCTCTGCCAAAGCCGCTCCGTCTCCGGGCGGCATCTTGTTCACGTCTGTGGTGTCACCGGTTCAAGCACAACAGGCCGCGCCTGCGGTGACTCCCATGACTTGTTGACGGGTCTTCTTTAAGAAACGTAAAAGACGTTTTTATTTCTCACTCCTGGTCTCTGGCTGGCGCTTGCGCTCGTGGCCTGGGCCCTCGGCAGCTCCCACCGCCACCCTGTGTGGAGGCCCCGGGGCCCCACCTCCCGCCCCTGGGAAGGACCGGGTGGGACGGGGCGGGGAGAGAGGGCCGTGCTGACTTCAGCGCAGTGATGAGACCCCAAGAGTAAAACACCCGGGGCCGCATCTGCTCGCTGTTTGCTTCTCAGATGCCGCCTTCTGAGACTCACGCTCCAAACTTTCCCGTCTTAATCTGTGGTGGGTAATGAACCAGAATGTCTGTGGTTCTGTGTTGGAAACACATCGTCCGTGTCAGACTCTCTCTGGCCCGGAAGCCTCTCGGTCCCTTTCACAAGCGTCTGATTTCATCCTATTGCAGATCGAATGTGCCGCGTACAACCCCGAGCCCTTCCTGAGCAACGAGAGTCAGCCGGACCCGTCCTCCACGGCGCACGGCTTCCTGTGGGTAAGATGCCTTTGTTCCTAGGCGAGTTTGCAAGGACCGGCACGCGCAGTTAGTGTGGCGGGAAACAGATGTGCGTCGTCGCGTGGAACGCTGCCGTTCACTTCGGTGTAGCCCAGCGTGTATTTTCAAACGTGAAAACTCCCGCTGAAGAGGCCTGATTACTTTTGGAAAAGATGTAGAATTCTTAGGAATTAAAATGTTAATTTCTTTTCTTTTTCATCTGAGTCTTTTACCAGATTAAATTCA